TAATCCATTTTGAGTTTATTTTTGTGTATGGTGTTAGAAAGTGTTCTAGTTTCATTCTTTTACAGGTGGTTGACCAGTTTTCCCAGCACCACTTGTTAAAGAGGTTATCTTTTTTCCATTGTATATCTTTGCCTCCTTTGTCGAAGATAAGGTGACCATAGGTTCGTATCACAGCATTGTTAATCAGTTATACCTCAATACAAATAAAAAGTTAAAAAAACAATGGAATGGCTCTATAGTCAGCTGTTTCTTAGAAGAAATGTTCAGTAAGGATCTGGATGGCCATTAGGAAACACCAAAAAGAGTTTCTGAATTATGAAGAGGAGGCTAAACCAAGGGGGTTTTCCTACGGAATTCTTGTGTAAATGTACACATTAGTCGCTCAGTCGTGTCCAACTCAATGCGACCTCATGGACTGTAACCGGCCAGGCTTCTCTCGTCCATGGGATTCTCCTGGCAAGAGTATTGGAATGGATAGCCATTCCCACCTCCAGGGGATCTTCCTAACCCTGCATTGGCAGGTGGATTCTTTACTATCTGAGCCACTAGGGAAGCCCAGATTGCACATATGGAAAATTCTCTGTATGTTTATGGCTTATCCGTTTTCAAAGAATTTCAAAGATTTTAAATGTTTGAGACCATGTTTGGTTCCTTTCTGAGTGAGAGGATATTACAGTGCCTTGGGGTCCTTGTGAACATGAGTGATCATCAAAGACATGGAGAAATGAGGAGACTCAGGAATCAGCTCATTTCACTTCTATCTTTGTCTGTTATTCCCTTGGAGACAAGTCCCTTATCTCTGAATGCCATCTTTTCTGTGTAGGCTCTTAATCTTTGCTCCCCACTTTGAGTATGTCTCTTTGAAAGAACAAGCATGTTACTCAAAGTTTACTACCTCTTAGTGTGAATGGAGCTTTTTGAAAGAAGGTGATATTTATTTGTACCTAGCAGACAAGTGACAAGTTTAAAAAAAACCCTGTAAACTTGACTTTGGCCTTGACTGTGCTCCATGTATCACTAACACACTTCCCTGGTGCCTTACTTTTCCTGCTGCTTTTATTGCAATAAATGTAACCATAATATGTTAGAAAATTTTAATAAAGTTATATAAAGGAGATAATGTTTAATAATCTATTTATTTCAGATCCATCTTCCTTTTTTTTTTTTTTTTCTCGCAGGCTTTTACTGACTTGCTGTCTTTTCCAGTATTATGTTCTGTAAAACCTTTTGCTGTCACCATGTAACATTTGTGGTATCCTCATAGGTACTGTGTTATACCACTAAATGAGAAACCTGGTAAATGTGAACGCAATGCTGAGTTGATCTCTAAAATACCATTTTTGTATTTTTAGTGAATGATGAACCCACTGCAACCACTGATCCCGAAGAACCCTCTGTTGTTGGTGTGGCGTCCCCACCTGTTGCAGTGTCCAGTGTGACCCCGAACCCTACCACCGCGACTACCCCTGCCACGGCCACGCCGGCCGAAGGGGAGGAGCCCAGCACTTCGGGCACGCAGCAGTTCCCTGCAGCCGCCCAGGCCCCCGATGCTCTGCCTGCTGGGTGAGTAGCCTTCTGTCCCACCACAGCACCCCCCCGACCCCCTAGGAAAAAACCAACTGGGGCTCCTTCACCAGGCCAGAAACAATGTGGTTATTTATTACCTGGTGGCTAGCAGTCCCTGGGGAGGCTGCCATGCATCAGAGCGAGAAAGGTGTGGAAGGACTGCTCGTTCTACATAAATCTTGAAAAAAACCTAAATCATCTGGGGCTGAATCAATGCTACCTTATACAGTGACTTGAAATGAGCAGCTCAACTCAAAGAGTGTGGCTGTTATGGAACAAGGAGCTCATTTTGCCCTCCAAAATCACTGGGTTTGCCCAGATCCTGCCTAGAAAACAGCCTTTCGCCCTTGCATTTTATCTCAATGGTCCATGGAGGACTTTAGACCCTGAGTATTACTGTATGTTTTTCCATGACTGGAGCTGATGTTAACGTGGACTTATAGTTTTCTTGCCACCTTTTGGTTCAGAATGAAATCTGATGCTAAAGGCCTTGGGTGACAGGAAGATGGCCCCAGTAGGCCAAAAGCGAGAGGAAATGAAGCTCAGGGACCTGGGAATCAAATAGATCTGGATTTGAATCCTCACTTGACCCTTTATGACCTTGCCCAAGTGACTTACCATCTCGGTAAGGTAGAGGTGATAATCATGCATAACTACTCCCGAGGAATTTGTTGCAGTCATGTCTGACTCTTTGTGACCCTGTGAACTGCAGCATGCCAGGCTTTCCTGTCCTTCACCATCTCCTGGAGTTTTCTCAAACTCATGTCTGTTGAGTCAGTGATGCTATCCAACCATCTCATCCTCTGCCGCCCCCATCTCCTCCTGCCCTCAATTTTTCCCTTCATCAGGGTCTTTTCCAATAAGTTGGCTCTTTGTGTCAGATGGCCACGGTGTTGGAGCTTCAGCTTCAGCATCAGTCCTTCTAATGAATAGTCAGGATTGATTTCTTTAAGGGGCTCCAATAAGACACTGTATGTGAAGCCCTCACCCGATAGTGAGTGTTACACCTGGTGAATGATATTTTTGAAGTGATTATGAAAGAATCATAAAAGAAGGGAATGGTTCTGAACTGGGAAACAGTCTTATCTCAGGGCTCCCAATCACTTGTCAGGGCCAATTCCATGTGGTCCCACCGCCCATCCTGGTTATCAGCTTGGAACCAGGGAAGCCTTTGTGATAAAAGGGAAGCATGGTATACTGATGTAAAACACACCATACTGTTCTTCAGCCACTTTAGAAAACCCCATCGTCCAAACAAACAAAAAATCCTAAATCTGAAGGCATTTGGGATTTTTACCACTTACATCTCGCATCCCTAGCATCTGGCACACAACTCAACTTACATTTCTTAACAAAACGCAATGATCACATGAAAAATATCACAAATGGTTTTTAATCCCTCAGACCCATAGAGAATCAGGGGGTACTGAGAGGCGGCTTCAGAGTCTTCTGTGAAATTTTCCATTTTGTGGAAAGATTTATAACTGCTTGCTTGAGTGCAACTCCTTCCTACAGAGGTTTTTTTTTTTTTCTTTTTTCTTTTTCTCTTGTGTATGTAGTAAGGAATACTCGAAAGACCTTTGTTTGGTTTATAATTTGAAATCTGTATATCATCTGGGAGGAGCAGAGTGGGATCGTTTTGGCAGAGGGAGAGGAGATGGCCGGCTGGGTGCCTCAGGAGCCTGCTTGTTTACTTTCCGCTGAGCAAAGCCTGGAAGGCGGGCTTCCCTCCCGTGTGTCAGTCACACGCAATTAGGGCTACTGGCTCAAGGCGTCTTTATGTAGGGCGTGTGTGAGGGTTACTGTTCTCCTGGATTGGGCCCTTCCTGTTTCCAGGCAGCTGGAAAACTCCAGGCTCGTCCTGAAAACACTCTTTATTCTGAGTCTGGCGGTCAGAGCAGCTCAGAGAAGCTGGTTTTCCTACTTGGCCTCCCAACCCACCCCAACCAGAGGCCGAACTGCTTCTCTTGGGTAGAGTTTGAACAACATCTTCTCCCTGGAGCATTTAGCATGGGATGGTAGGTCTGAGGAGGCTGCTTCCCACTTGAACACAAGTGATGGTCAGGAGAAGGGCATTGAGACCCAGTTTTACCACCCAGGGGGCTTCCGGGTGCCCACTGGGAGTCCTGGTATTTTGTGGGCTGTCTCGGGGCCTGGTGATTGCCACTGGCAGTGCTGAGTGCGTGGCGGTGAAGATGGCAGGCTTTCAGTTCTCTGCTCTGTGATGGCAAGCCAGAAAGTGCACACTTTACACCCCAAGCCTTCCAATTCACAGACCTGCCGTCTCCACCCTAGCCGCTTACTTACAAGTTTAGGAGATCCAGACAAGATGGATCATCCCTACCTTCTTGGTATCTTACATTCAGGAGTCAGGGGAACCACTTTTAACCTTTTAAATAAAATTCTGAACATAACATTTCATCACCCAGAGTGCCTCACTGGTTTCTTCTTGTCTTTAGGAGTCAATTCTCAAATGCTTAATAAGACCTGAAAAAGCTCTGCAGGACAGGGCCTCATCTACCCCTCAAACTTTCCGTGGAAGACATGCTTTGCTTTGCTCTCTAAGCTCTGCCCATAATGACTTACTTTAGTTTGACAAGTATAGCACCCTTTCTCTGGGTTGGGGACGGTCTGTCATGCTGGTTACCGCTCTCTGAAACCTTCCTCACCATTTTTTCCATTAATTTCTATCCATCTTCAAGTCTCAGATTAATCAGCACTTGCTCTGGGGATCCTTCCTCAGTCCCTGGTAGACAAGGTCACACCGCTCTGTGTATTGCAACTCTTCTCACACGCATAATTGCGTGTTCTGCGTCCCTCTTACCCAGTTGGGCTGTAAATGCCAAGATGGCAAGGAGCCTGGCACAAAGTCAGCTCCCAAGACATACTTGTGCATTAATGAACCAGTTTTTTGAGGGTTTCCCACATGGCTTGGTGGTAAAGAATCTGCCTGCCAATGCAAGAGACACAGAAGACATGGGTTCCATCTCTGGGTTGGGGAGATCCTCTGGAGGAGTCAGTGACAACCCACTTCAGTATTCTTGCCTGGAAAATCCCATGGACAGAGGAGCCTGGCAGGCTGCAGTTTGTGGGGTTGCGAAAGAGTTGGACATGCCTGAACGACTGAGCAGCAGCAGTGTCTCAATTTAAATGCCATATATATATATATTTTTTTTTTTTTCGCTCCACCTGGATGAATGTTTTCTGCTTCTTTGATGGCTCAAATAGACAGGACCTATGACAGGAATTACATTTTCTTCCTAAGAGCAAGCCCTTAATGGGTCCCTCACTAGGTTGTCTGGCTTTGGGTTCACGTTAGGACTCTCTCACAGGGTCGGGCTGCTCCTTTCTGCTCACTAGGGGTCTACATGCCTGGGAAACACTGCGGAGCATGTCTCCCCCTTTGCGTGGCCTTTGTGAGCCACGCTAGACTGCTTTTTTTGAGACATCCAGCCGACTCGGTCTCTTTCCAGCCTTACCTTCTCAACTCCTTCATCTCGTTCACAGAGCATTCGAGCACAGTTCACTTGGGGATGCCAAGGGCTTATTTTTCCAGTTGCCACATGGCCTTTCTGAAACTCGCAGCAGATGCAACTGGTCATAAAGATGTCACATCCGCCTGTGTTTTAGTGACTGAAGGCCACCGAAACCTGGGCTGCCTCAATCCAAACAGAACACCCTTTATCCCTTTCCTCTCTCCTGGCCTCCAAACCCTCCTCCTGCCTTCTGTACCTTTTAATTAATTAGTGAGAAAGAAGCCAATTGGAAGGGCGTGGCGCTTTCAGCCTGCGAACGTCTGTCAAGGGAAGGGGTGCCAGCCAGACTCGAGAGACATGGTGAGATAGTGGCCTGGGCGAAGGGCAGTGGGGAGGGAGGCCTGCTTTGATCAGCTGGCCCTGCATCTGGTTTTTATCAGCAGGGAGCCCACTTTGGGGACCAAATGCTCATTAACAGACCGTGTGTACATGGCTTAGATAAACTCCAAGCGCGTCCCAGGCCCTGCTGCTCGCCCAGGCCCTTGTGCACAGAGGCGCATTATTCCAGCCTGGCAGCCCGCGCCGCGCTGTGGTTTCTTACATAAGGGAGGCCGTTGTGTTTGGACTCTGTCGGCTTACCTCAGCGCTGCCATTTCACACCATCCCTCTCCTCCCGCAGTCATTGGCTGCCCTGGCTGTTTCCTGCCTCAGAGGAGAATTAATTGAGGAGGGTGTTCTCTGGATCTGTTGGATTTTCCATCTCCCCCCACCCCCAGGTCCAATTCTGCAGACCTACAGGTCCTTTCTCCAGGTGGTCCTTGACACATTATCAAGGATGACAACCTGGTAAGAGTTCTTTGATGTTTTCTTCGTAGAGACACTTTAAGAGACGTTGGAATTTGCAGCTTCTCTGCTAAGTTATAAACCAGCCACTGCCATTGAATTTCATTCCAAACTCAATTTTGTCACTAGCCAAAGATCCTTACCTAAGGAGTTTTAAAACAGTGCTTCTCAAACTGTCTGTGAAAAACTAGTCCTTTTTTACCCCTACTGTTTTTGTTTGTTTTAATTTTTTTTTCAGTCTCTTATGAACTCTTACTTTGGTCCTCTATTTAGTGAAACAGATCTACAGATTATGTATTTGGATGTTGTGGCAATGTCAAATTGGTACAGAAGTTTCTAAAAGCCTACAAACTTCTGAACTTTTCTGGTCACTGAACAGTAACAGTGTGAGCCATGGACCATACTTTGAGTAGCAAAGGATTAAAGGATTATACTGGGAGACTGTCCCTTTGTGCTAAGTAGTATGGTTTAGTTCTTGACTCTGCAAGGATTATTACATGCTTGGGTAATGCCAGATAGTACATGTTACTGGCTTCCTCCTCCTCATCTCAGAATGAAATCCTTGTTTCCAAAGATTCTACTGTGTCAGGGCTGGCTCATGAGAAGTTCTTGCCCTGCTCTATGTATGTTTTCGTGTGTAAATAGGAGTTTTCATTTTACTACACTTTCTTGAGAACT